GGACTAGGTGCGATGGAAGGAAACAGCCGTACCTTTGACGCCATTGACCTGGACGAGATGCTTGTTGATTGAATTATGTGGATCTGAATGCTTCCATGCGACACGTATTGAGCGACTCGATATTTCCTCAAGAGTAACTTCTGGAGCTGGGGGAATATCAAGACCTAATTTCTCAACCAACAAATCATTCGGGGTCTGAAAGACAAGATATGCGCGATACAGCAACCTGATGCACATGAATAGAATAGTTAGGACTATATTACGCGGGAAGACTTTCGATAACCTCAAAGTTATCAACACCATCGATGACTAGTGATAGTATGAGCATACCATATCAAGGCCCAAAACATGCTCCCCATGACTAGGAAAGCCATGATGCCCTGGACTTGCACTCTCGGTACCACGACGGGATAGTGGTCCGAGACAAGTCGCAGCGACTCATGCATTCCAAAAGCATGGGAAAATCATGGAGTGAGGAGAAGGAATGGAAGCGTAAGAGTATGAAAATAAAGCAGTAAAGTACTGGGATGAATGATAATGCTCAGTGGACGCCAAAAGAGAAGTTATAAAGTTGCGCGTCGTATGAATGAAAATTTGCGGGTTGCGATGGATGGACGCAAGGAGAAAGACAGATGTGGTTGGTTCGGGTAGAATCGTCACTCACTCAGACTCAGAGAAGTTATTGCTGCGGGTAATAAGTCGTCGTAAGAGGGTTATAAAACGGACTAAAGTGTTAAGTAAGTATGAAATGGGGTAGTATTATCATACCATTTTATTTTAGTTAGAGCATTACTATTGTATAAAACAGTTATATTATAGTTTACGCACTTTATATATACAACAGTTATTTTTTAATAAAACATCACCATAATCCCACTGCTCTCAACATCCACCGTTGACGATCCAGACCAACCACAACCACCCATCAATCATCCATCCAACCAACCAACCATTTACCTACTATGTACACTACATTATACAAGTTGTATCAGAATACTGGATGAAGAGCAACCCATTAGATAAGAGGATCACGATTGGAGGAGGTTACTGCTCTGTTTAAACACAACGAGAAAGAGACATAACGAGATTGAGATCGATATCAGTGTCAATAACGGACCAATGCACCGGGATTATTGACAGGTGGTGCTGGAACTGGTTATGCTCGGCCTCTAGTTTCACACGTTTCCTTGCCTTTTACTTCTCGAGCCAACGTTGCCGAACCCTGACCCGCTATTTCGATTCGCTGCGCGTGTGCTGATATACCGTGGGTTCATCATACTCATATACCGCGCTACAGCTGCGTACATCTACCGCCTACAAAGCTTCCGTATAGTATAGCACATGCTCATGCTTTGACCCTCCTCGACTTGCAGTGCATGGCCTGGCGCGCGAGTCTGTCACATGTGCTTGGATCTTCTTACATAGCGCCGATTAATCAATCAGAAATAAGGGACTTAAGAGGGAGAGAAGAGAGAAGAGTAAAACAATAAGGGAGACATCCTAGACAAGAGGAGACGAAGCAAGCAGCGAGAAGGTATATCATATCTCTCTTTCTCTCAACCACCTTCTTCAACGCCCCTCAGGACTAGTCACATATCATTCTGTTGATTTTCTCAACCCTTTCTTCATACGTCTCAGGTACGAGCTGCTGCTGCTGCTGCTGCCTAGTGGCGTCGTGCTCAACCACCTCCAACGGATCCATCCTATATATTCTTATAAAGAAAATTCGCTCGCTCACTCGGTTGTGGTCGCGCTTGCTATTGTTGTGCGACGCACATACTTCGTCATCCGTATCTCAGCACAGAATTCAGTCGTGACTTGTTCAGCGCTCATCAGCTCATATCTCGCCGGGTGATGCAGTACGTTCGCAGTCTCAGTGGTTCCGTCTCGAAGACCTGGAATTCCATCAATCCAGCAACATTGAGCGGTGCCATTGATGTCATAGTCATAGAACAGGAAGATGGTACGATTGTCTGTCCTTGATGGCAAAGCTCTCTTTTCTTGCGTTCATGCTCCGTTCGTTGCTAATGCATCTTCTTCTTCCCTTTTCCTCTTCCCTTCCTTGCATTCAGGAACTCTTGCATGTTCGCCCTTCCATGTGCGATTTGGAAAATTCTCGCTTTTTCGTCCATCCGAGAAGAAGGTATGTTGTGTGGTATATTCAGATCAATTAGTATTGCTTCCATGCTCATACTGTTCGACAGGTGGAGTTTCGGGTTAATGGCGTCAAGCAGAATTACCCCATGAAGTTGGGTGAAGGCGGAGAAGCATTCTTTGTCTTCCAGACAACAGACGACATTCCATTGTCTATGCAGACTTCGCCAGTTCTTTCGCCCACAAGCAGTCCCGGTTCGGATTTCGTGAGAAGAGATACAGATCGAGATACAGATCCGCCATTGCAGGAGCCCGAGTTCCTGGATTTGGACAAAGTTGATGCTCAGAGGCCAACGTCTAGTGGTTCAAGAACAAGTACCGACAAAGGTATGTTCTATTCTGCCTGTCTACTTCTAGTGTGGCTCTTTTCCTCTTTTCCAGCGAAGCTGATCATCCAATCTGCTTTTTACAGATGCTATGTCAGCGTCTGCTGACAACCACTCTTTCTCTTACGATTCCACCACGACATACCACGAAACAACTCAAGTCCTCGATAGATCAAAGTCCGCTGAGATGTTGAAGACGCCTATATCTGGACGCCCACACCGGTCTGCAACTGACAATGGCGAGCCACCTGTCATTCTATCCTCATCATCCTTTACCAGAGAGACAACTAGCATACCACGATCAATAAGCCCTCCACCACTGCCACCAAAGGAAGCATTTTCCCGCGCCATTGCACTATCAAAGAAACTCTCCGTCTCCAACATTCCATCGCAAGTTACCGACAGCGGAGATCTGATGCTCGACATGACCGGGTACAAGTCCAACGAAGATGACGCTCTACGGGCCGAAGCGACCGCGCGCAAGATACTTGCTGAAGAGTTGGAAGGAAACTACGACATAGGAGCACTGATGGATGCAGACGAACAAGGGAACATATGGATTTTCGGCAGCGAGGAGTCGAAAGAGGCAGCAACGCAACGAGGCAGCTTGACTACTGCCCGAATAGAAGACGATGATGCTATTTCAGATCCGGGATACCATAGCGATGCTTCTCGTGGAAGCATAACTTCTGGATTGGCTCAGCGATATGGGAACCACGCTCAGGCACCTACAGTGGTTACCACTGGACGAAGTTCGGAGGGACTGGGGGATCCTAATACGAATTATGCCAAGACATTGCGACTCACCAGTGACCAGCTACGAGCATTGGATCTCAAGCCTGGAGCTAATGAGATGAGATTTAGTGTGAACAAAGCAACCTGCGTTGCTTTTATGTATCTTTGGAGTTACAAAACTCCAATCGTTATCTCCGATATCGATGGAACGATTACCAAGTGAGTGTAGGCATATTGTCTGGAATCTCGTTGTGCTGTCATCAATTGCTAACGACAATCAGGTCCGATGCTTTAGGGCACGTGCTCAATATGATTGGCCGCGACTGGACGCATCTAGGTGTCGCGAAACTATATACGGATATCGTTAACAATGGGTATAATATCATGTACCTGACTAGTCGCTCAACGGGTCAGGCCGATACGACGCGGGCCTACCTGAACGGAGTCCTGCAAGAAGGTTACCGACTTCCAAGAGGCCCAGTTATCATGTCCCCTGACCGAACCATAGCTGCGCTTAGACGAGAGATTTACCTCAGAAAACCCGAAGTCTTTAAGATGGCCTGTCTACGTGACATCTTGAATCTTTTCCAGCGTCGCGAGAATCCATTCTACGCTGGTTTCGGGAACAGACTTACAGACGCTCTAAGCTATCGATCCGTGAACATCCCGTCGTCGAGGATCTTTACTATCAATTCGAATGCGGAGGTGTATATGGACCTATTGAGTCTTAACAAGTATAAAAGCAGTTACGTTTCTATGCGTGAACTGGTTGATCATTTCTTCCCTCCTGTCGGAACTTTGGTGCAAGAAGGTGGGGAGGACTTTACAGATTTCAACTACTGGCGCGATAAACCCCTTGACCTAGAGTATTTCTCGTCGACTGATAGTGAGAGTGATTCAAGCTCAGTTACTGAGCATGATGATGTGGAGTTTGATGAGGAGAATGACCTTGACGCTGATATGCATGAGGAGTACTCGGACGAGGACGACGAAGAAGAGGATGAGGACGATGGCTTCATCGCCAACGGACATTCCCTCAATAACTTACATATACGAGACTCAGGTCACGGATCATCATCGTCCTTAAGCGGCGAGGAAGATGACTACGATGATGGTGACGATGAGAAGGAGGACGAGCAAAGGGTCAGTGCAGAAAGGGGTAGAGATAACGCAGTGCCGGGAAATCGGCAAAGTGGCTCAACTCAGGCGGCATATTCCTCAGAGAGGCGCAATTCGCCCGAAAGAGATTCATGCCTCACCGACCCTCTAGATCAATCTGGATGACCATGTTCTCGGACGTCCGAGAACGGCCTATTTTCCCTTCTCCGTTTCCTTCTTTTCTTTTCATCACCCCTCATCCCTCATTCACCGCACTTCACTGGGGCTCAGTCTTTCACAATGTACGACTCTTCCAATAATTACTTAACGACATCTTGTGCATAACATTTGTTCGGTTCTTTTCTATGTTCTGTTTTGTTGTTTTCCCTTATTTCTCTCCGGCATCGCATTGAAAGCTACCGCCATCGGCTTATCATCGGCTACATAGTCTAAGGCATTGGCACAGCCACTCTTAATTCCTCGATAAAGTTCTCTACCTTCCTGCACCTTGCATCATGTACGCATCGCTCGTGATAGGTGGTTGACTACTTTAAAAACGAAATCATTGCATGAGCAATCCTGCAAAAAAGGTTACGAACCTACACAGCCTGCCAAACGTGATACTGTTGTAGGTAGCTTATTTGCCGGATTCTGAACCATGAGTTCATGAGAAAGAATCAAAAAGTCCTCCGAGTCGGGGAATCGAACCCCGGTCTCCCGCGCTCGTACTATTATGATTAGTGACAAGCGGAAATCATGACCACTAGACCAACTCGGATTTTTATTGACAATAATTCTTCTTCAAGCTTTATCAAGACAGTTCAATATGCAAAGTCACATGACTGCATATACTGTTATCGGCGCTCCAGACCATGGACCTGCAAAACGTCGCGCATTGGATTGACGATCATCACAAGCTCAGTAGTCCATCTGCTTGATTACAAGCGAAATAGCATCCTTTTATATTCTACCTTTAACGGTGCTGCTTGGCTGGTCCAGGCGACCTTGGATTCATTGACAGACGGATCGCCACAGAAACGTGAAATGCTCTGATGCTGTACTATACTTCGTTCTCCCTTCTTTCGCCTACGGTCCTTCTTCATCAAACAGCATCTGAATATCATACATCATGGACAGTCCATCTCCAAATCCTGGCGCTTCCGCTTCGACACAACCTCTGACACCACCAGCCGATGGCACCGGTCCAAACCGTGCATCGATGATAGCCGCAGCGGTGCAGTCCCCAGGCCCAAATAATACCTATGAGGATGTTAGTAAGGAGGGTCAGAGAGTAGAGGCAGGAG